AGAGAGAGAAGAGAGAGGAGAGGGTCCTTTAGAGAGAGAAAGAGAGAGGAGAGGAGTTCCTCTTAGAGAGAGAAAGAGAGAGGAGAGGGGTCCCTTTTAGAGAGAGAAAGAGAGAGGAGAGGAGTCCCTCTTAGAGAGAGAAAGCGACGGAGGGTGTCGCTTTAGTGAGAGAAGCGATAGAGGTCCTTTTTGAAGAGCGAGGCGAGGGGCTCCCATTTTAGAGAGAGAAAGAGAGGAGAGTGCCATTTGAGACGGGGTCTTTTGGAGAGAGAGAGAGAGGTGAGGGATTCCCATTTTAGATAGAGAAAGTGAGGAGAGAGAGTCCCATAAGAGAGAGAATAAAAAATCAAACTGCTATTTGAGATCTCTCTCTTCCCCTATTTCTACGCACACTTTGAGTTTGAGTTTGAGTTCAGTTCAGATCACCGTTCAGACAGCTACTGAAAACCAGAGACCACAACAGAGAAAAACCAGGCCATAGCCCCATCACTCTCGAGCTCTTTCCTCACTATAAGCCCTAACTTTATGATTTCCTACTTCTCAGATCTGTGCATTCAGTGGATCTTCCATTGATTGTAGCAGTCCTAGCTCGACGAGGGGTTTTGATGGTGCATTCTAAGATTTGAAATTTAATGTCTTCAGAAGCTCCATGATTTTGCTTGAAGAGGTTGGTTTCTCGTTGTTTGCGGGTTTTTTAGGCGGTAAAATGATTGAAGAAGCAAAGGTTTGTCTCGCTTTTATGATAAATCTCAGTTATTGGGAAATCCTCTCATTTCTGGCTTTTTTAGGCTTTCGTTGGATGTAGAAGCCTGGAGTTCTAAATGGTAAAATGACGCATTGATTTGATGAAGAATGCCGGTTTTTAGCTTTCATTTTGTGCTCAAATGCCTGTACTTTCTGGCTATTTCTAGGGTTTTTTGTCTGAACAAGGACCAGTTTGACAAATGGATGAGTGAGCTTTGAACTTGTTGATAAATCTCACCCTCAAACCTTCAGATTCACTAATGCAGAGGAAATGAAAGAATCAAAGCTTTAGGCCCCACTAATATTCTCAAGAAACCTGCAGCTCCTGGTTATTAGTAGGGTTTTCCTGGTTATTCGTAGGGTTTATCTTCTCCGAAGGAGCAGTGATGAGCAGCATTTGACTGGGACCTGATAATAAGATGTTGAATCGCAGTTTTAGGTCGTCGGAGTCGCAACTTCAGAGGAAGGGAAGGACCCTGGGATCAGTGATGAAGGAGAAGGATGATGACCTTGCTTTGTTTCTTGAGGTTCGAAAGCACGAGAAGGAAAGGAATAACTTGTTGCTTAATAACTCAGATGATCTTGAACCCCTTTTAGGTACAGGCTCTGAGCTTCTTCCTCAAATCCCTGCCTCTTTATTTTTCACCTCTATATGTTTCCCTTTTTTGGAGTCCTTCTTAGGGTTAAACATCAAGGCTTTATTAAATTTTCACTTGTAGACAAACGTTTTTATCACAAGAGCAATTGCATAGAGATTTAACATCTAATAAACTTGCTCATCATTTCAGGTATCCTGATGTTAAATCTTGTCAGTTTTTTACTGGGCTTATTTTGAAATTTGTTTAGATGGTGTTCATTTTTAGTTATTGAAAAAGCTAAGGTTATAGATGGTTTATTGATTTGCCGGTATATTTTTTAAAATTTGAGTGTAAGAGTTAATTTCAGGAAATATTAGAAGCAATGGAATTTTCATGGATTGATATTTGGGTATTTTAGCTACATCACTTCTTGAAACTGCAGATTGGCAACATGATTCTCATCGTTAAGCACAATTATATTGGGTTCTTGGAGAAAATTATGTTTTCTTGAAGAGTAATTCAAATAATCTTTTTAAACAAAAAAGAATATCAAAATTCGCTTTTTAGTTTTTATTCATGGAATCATTCTGCAATTGTATTAAACAAGGCTTTACTATTTTATTATAATTGTATTTTCATTTTCATTGTCATGTGTATGTGTTGGTTTATAAAGGAATATCTTACTTTTTATCTGTTTTTTAGATCAATCTTTTGAGTTTATAGTTTACCCATGTGGAACTATGTGAAGCTCTTGCAATTAGATACGGTAGATTTTCCTTGAATAACCTTATAAATCCATGTCACTCAACTCATTCTCTCTCTCTCTCTCTCTGCACATTATTTCCTTGAAGAAGCTATATAGGAGCTGCTTTTCTTTTTTCTTCTTTTTGTTTCGTTAGATGAATTAATTTCCTAAGTATGCTGGATCGACATCATTTAATAAGAGTTCAAATGTGGCATTTCATGGTTGCAGGATCTAAACCGGGCAGTTCTCCCATTTTTAAAATTACTTCATCAACAACAACACGTAAGGGCGGCCCTGATGATTTTCTTAATGCAGATTCTGACAAAAATGACTACGATTGGTAATCCTTCTTTCCTGTTTGATGAATTTTTATTGTCCTGTATTTTGTATTTAAATTGCTTATTTTTGTCCTTGGTTTTTGTTCATGTGACTATTCATGATGTCATTTACACTTTTTAATGTGTATATACATAGTTAATAATTGCATACACGGCCTTATTTCTCAATTGGATCAACCATTTGTTGCTAGAGCTCCACTGAATGGTTATTAGAGTAAGGAGTTATAGCCTATTAAAAAAAGTGATGCAGTCATACTTTCTGTTTACATATGCACAGTTGTGCAAAATGTTGGAAAATTCACTTTGCATTATTCGTAGAACTATGAACTATCTATCATGTTTGTAGCTAACCTATTGTAGAACACATTAGATAATACATACATGTATTATAGATTACATTTCAGTGTGGTCTGCACAAAGTCCGTGTTCAATTGGTGGTTGTCTTTATCAGTCTGTATAAAATTTCTAAATATTTGGGCAAGCTAAAAGGGTTCAGTATCCTTCATCTAAGTGTTTCTTGTAGTTTATCAATAAGAAGCTTAGTCGCTTACTTTAAACGCTCTCAAGAATTGAGATATACTCCGCGAAATGCATAATAATGAAGCTTGCATCTGTCTTCATTAAGTGCAAGGATATTAAATATAAAGGATTTTCGACCCCAATTAGTTGGGAAAGGCTTTGCTGATGATGATGATGATGATGATATTAAATGTAAAGGATTTTCTCCCTATTTTTGAAGTCATGCGTAAGAAATGGCTAAGACGAAAGTTGATTTCAATCCGTTCTCATGATAACATTTTGTTTTTATTACATCCTCCTCATACCCCTTTTTGGTGAAACTAAGATGTGCTTGTGGATCTGTAAGTTAATTAATACTTTAACTTACTTAAGTGCATCCTTGATATTGTAGATGTACCATGTGCTTGTACATGCATACATATGCATATGGGTGGGTTAGGAGAAGATATTTTAATTCTCAAGGAACCGCCAGTAAGTAGAGTATCTTTGGAAGTCTTATATATTTCTGGTTTATGTAAGTTTTGGTTCCTTTATTCAGAACTTCAAGTAAAGAATAATGTGTAACCTAAAGATCTATTAGAGAATCTTACTCTATGAAATGACATTAAGGTAATTTGACAGCTGTTGGGGGTCAAGATTTTTGAGAACTTAACATTCTAAAGGGATTACATGGGCAGAGAGGGGAAGCAAGACTTCTAATCCAGTTAGGACCATACTGATGCCATAGAAGAGCTTGCATTTTTACCAGAACCCGTAGCTAGAAATTTGGTCGAACTTGTGTTTTAGGAAATGGATCGATGGGGTGGATTGCTCATGCCACACCCTCCGATCCTGATCTGGATCGGTGGGATTGGCTAGGGGTTTATATAGATTAAGCCTTCTAAGATTGGACAGCTTATGTTTTTGGTTTTCTTGGTCAGACCTTGTGACATTAGACACAAATTCTGGGATTCGATTCCCTCTCTTACTATATAATTTTTGAAAAAAAGACGTATAACCTCCTCTCTAAAATCATAATCCCAAATAACCCCCACGGTCCATGGAAAGCTCATGGACCCCCTCCAAGTTAAAGAAAAGGATGTTTAACCCACTTTGCAACTTATTTTATTGTCCAAATTACAATATTTATCCTTTTTATTTCTTTTAATGACCTCTTCAGCGAAACCCTACAGAAGCACCCCATTTATTTCTCTCTCTTCCTCTCCCTTGAACATCTTCCTCCCTCTCGCTCTCTCACAACCTCCCTTGAACCCTTGTACCTCTCTCATCTCGTGAACCTCACAAGTAGGTTAAAAGAGACATCTCAAATTCCATATTTTTGATGAAGTTACTAGAAAGAGAAAGGGTATATGTAATTTGGACAGTGAAAAATGTAAGGAGGGGGTTGAACATCATTTTCTTTTAACTTGGAGGGGGTCTATGGGATTTCCATAGCCCCAGGGTGTTATTCAGGATTATGATTTTAGAAAGGGGGTATATGTCTTTTTCCCATAATTTTTTTTGCCCCTTGTATATATGATTTTTTAAATGTTCAATGCTATAAAATAATTATAAAGAACTAGTCATGAGGCTTGAACCTCTACATGAGGGAAGACAAACACACGTGATAATCAAATGATCGATTTAACTTTTTTATTATAAATTATACATACTACATAAACAGTTAATAGCCGATTCCAACCAAAAACTGGCATGGTCATTGGTGGTCTCTGATCCAGAGTGTCAATTTTTCAATCACCGGTTTGATCAAAGCTATCTAGTTATAGATGGTGAGAAATGATTGGCTACATGGCTAGTTGGCAGTGTTTGACTTGATCAATTCGCTTTGGTTATGTATGTGGTCTGATTGACCACAGTTTTCACATTTGCATCCTTAGTTAAATTTTCCACGTTGTACCCGTCTGAATGTATTTGTGTTTTGCTGCTTCACCTGTGTTTTCTGCTTCGCTTCATTGATGCTTTTTTTGATGGCCAAAGCCCTTAATAGTTTGTATAACACTGGTTCAGTTGCCAGAACCAGCCTGACCAGTCACTCTGTTCTTGTATTAAATTCCTTGCTTCCCTTCTTTTGAAGGACAGCAGAACTGGGCAAAATTTGAGATTCTGTTTTTGTTGAAACAAGGGTTGAAATTGGATTCATGAAGATTACTTTGTCTGTAGATCACCATCTTTTTGAATGATCATTGGCTTTCTTTTATATATATATATATATGGACAGCGTGGATTAAAGACTGTCATAGACATAGCATGTCTGTGACGGGATGTTTTTCACGCAAAAATTGTATGGGGACTGCCATGGCAACCGTAGGTCCGTGGCGGTTTTTAGGCAAAACTGTCTGTGACGCAGCAAAACACGGTAGCAATTCGCCGCGTTTTTAAGACTTTTCCACACACATTCATGAAGATTACTTTTCCACACACACACACACACACACACACACACACACACACACACACATTCTACTTGTATGTTCCGTTTCGTGAACTATATTTGCACATTCTACTTGTATGTTCCGTTTCGTGAACTATATTTGATTATGTGAGATATGGTTACGGAAAACCCCCCACCTGATCAGTTAGTTTGCAGTTTACTCAAACTTAACCATAATTATACATATTGAGAACCTAGCAGTGGTATCTCTTTCCTATGGAAATTTTATATTTTTTCCAATTGAAGGTTAATATTTACATTTTATGGTACAGGATAAATTATTTGATTATTATGAAGTTAATAATGGGTTCTTTTTTCAATGTAGTCATTCTGATTCTTTTTTGTGTTTTTTGCTTAACAGGCTTCTTACACCACCTGGTACGCCCTTGTTTCCTTCTTTGGAAAGGGAATCCCATGAATCTAGAGTAAACCCATCAGGAATTTCTACAGCTCGTCCTACTGCACTAAGATCTAGAGTGAGTACCTCTGCTTTGGATAACCACTTTACCATTATCAATTTTATCCATTAAATCTTGCATTTATCATCAATTAAAAAAGATGATATTGCCTCTGTTTTTATGAATAATTCAATCTCATAAATACTGACGCAACTCTCTTGTTTTCTTTGATTCTTCATTCTCTTTTCCTCCTTCCAACTTTCTCCACATACTTTTATTTGAAAATTATGGCATTCATATGATTCTTTTTCTTCAATGGAAACTGTCTAGATTTTGCGAAGTATCGAGAGACACTGGAAAGATAAAAGCAGTTCCACATGAAAAAAAGTAGGCATTTATAGAATTTTTTTTTTTGGAGAATTGGTAGCAGGGTGTATAGCATATATGTTTTATGGTCATGGTTATTTCTTGAGGCACTTATTGGATGATTCACTCTTTATTTTGGCTGAAATCTGGCCTATTATTTAATACCAATTGTATATTCGGACTGTGTAAGGTGATACAAGAAATGGTCACGGATACAATGGGTGTTTGCCTCTTGTGATCTGTTTCCCCCCTTTTGCTCAGTTTTGTTGAAGGTTTCTTTGAGAAGTGGTGGATTGGGTAATCTCACCAGCAATCTGTAAATGGCAATTATTTCTAGCCCCATTAGTGGTGGGTCTTTTTAATAACCTTGGTTTCAAGCCTTCAAAGTTATGAAATAAGTTAAGACGGGTTCTAGGTAGAATGTTGGTTTAAGGAAAAGTAGATTAATGGAGCCAAGTTAGGTGTGCAAGCTGGCATTGTTTCATCTATATTTTTTCCATCTTCAATTGCCTCTTATTTGGTTCCTAGTCAAATAAGTTTTAAATTATTTGTAATATCCTACTAGTTATCTGAGAACCAATCGTGCTCATTGTCCACCAATACTACCATCTTATTTGAAGCTCTGTTTACTTATTTACTTATTGGAAATATGGAATTTTACTAATATAATCAAGTGTCCTATCCAATTGCTATCCTCTTGGAATTGCAACTGTAAGACCGGCTATACTTGGTAAAAGAAGTTTACATTCAAGCTTAGCTGTCAAATGTGAAATCCGGCTGCTATGGGTGTATCACAATGTTCAAGAAATATTCTTTTGGACTTTGAGCCCTGTCAATTGGACACCCCGACTGGCACAGTTTCACGACTAGGGCTTTTGTTGTCTGCTGGTACGGTAGGTAAATGGCATTATTGTATACTTTCTCTAAGCTCTTACTTGATGCCATGTTTGTTTTTCTTGTGCATAATTGGCTTCTTCACTTTTTTATCCCATTCTTGTGCTTTTACTTGATGCAATGGCTTGACAATGTAAACTTTTTCCATGTAGTGATGACTGATAAAATTTATTTTCAATTTTATTTTCATATAGTGTGTTCTACCCAGTCATTAGTTACTTTTATTGCAGTTATCCAATCCCCAAACAGAGACAGCCCCAAAAGCCGTTCGTGGAAACCTAATCTCTCGCCAACCAGCACCAACCTCTGCCCTAAACACTTCATTTAATGGCTTAGTGAAACCCTCATCTGCGAGCTCCACACGATCTCGGGCATCCACCCCATCTGGACGACCCACATTGCCTGCTCCCTCCACTAAAGCTTCAAGGCCTTCAACACCAACTTCTCGACCAACCCTAACCTCATCAAAACCCACAGTGACAACTTCAGCAAGGCCCTCTGCGCCCTCCTCTGCAAGGCCCTCTACCCCCTCCTCTGCAAGGCCCTCAACCCCTACAGCCCGTCCCACTTTTCCTGCCTCAAAACCCTCTTCAAGGGCCACCACCCCCACTAGAAGGCCCTCAACCCCTTCTCTCTCTAACAACTCTCGATCTCCTTCCCTCTCTAACAACTCTCGATCTCCTTCCCTCTCTAACAACTCAGCCCCACCTTCTCGATCGCCTTCTTTCACCAGCAACTCAGCCCCACCTTCTCGATCGCCTTCTTTCACTAACAACTCAGCCACACCTTCTCGGTCTCCTTCTCTATCTAGCAATTCTGGCCCACCTTCTCGATCTTCTCCTTTAACAAAACCTATTACTTCGAGAACCCAAGTTCCAGCTCGTGGGGTTTCTCCTACTGTGAAGTCTAGGCCTTGGAAGCCTGCTGAAATGCCTGGGTTCTCTCTAGATGCTCCTCCAAATCTCAGGACCACCATGCCCGAAAGGCCACTTTCAGCCTCAAGGGGTCGGCCTGGGGCTCCTAGTTCTTCGAGATCTAGTTCAGTGGAGCCTGGTTCAAATGGTAGGCCAAGGAGGCAATCATGTTCTCCCACACCTGGTTTGAGAGGGAGGAGTGCAAATGGAAGTATTCATGGAAATGGGGTGTTGAACAAAGGGTATTCAAATGGGAACAGTGACAGTGTCAACCCAGGTTTGATTGGGACTAAGATGGTGGAAAGGGTAATAAATAGTAGGAGGTTGGCTCCACCTAGTCGGGATGAGGAGGCATCTTTGAAGCATGGACAAAGTAAGGTGCAGGTGAAGGCTTCGGGTTCGCCTGACAGTGGTGGGTTTGGAAGGAACTTGTCGAAGAAGTCTTTGGACATGGCTTTGAGGCATATGGTAACACTCTATTCCTCCTCAGGAGTCTTAGCTTGTAAAATGCTCTCTATTTCTCTCTCTCTCTCTTGTATATTTTATTTAAAGGGAAAAGTTTATATAGAGCCGAGGCCCCAAACAATCAAATTAGAGCCCACCGCAAAAATTTTACTAAAAGAGATTGTTTTGATGCTCAAATATCCTCAAATTGATAATTTGTACATCAAGATGCATGGACACGAGAAAAAAATGGATTTCAAGTTTTAGAATCTTGTAACGCATTTTTGGACCGTCAATGTTTAAGATTTTTTAGTTTTCATAGATCTACTCGATCTACACTATTTTTGATGTTTTAATATTTATGATTGAAGATGAAAATATATTTTAAAGCTATCACAAAGATTTACAGTATTGAAACCATATTTCTTGGTACTATTTGAAGGTAGGCTCTAATTTGATTGTCTAGAGCCTCGGCTCTATACAAACTGCACCCTTATTTAAAATCTGTCTCTCTGTTATATGTCTTATCTAAAATTAAATCTGTTGCTCTCTTTACTGTATTTTTATTTAAATTGAACCTCTCTCTGTCTTTATCTCATTCTCTCTTGCATGTTTATACGAGACTTCAATGTATATTAACTCTCTCTCTGCTCATGCTCATAGCGTGTGTTTTTCATAATGAGAATCTCCATCTCCTATACTCACTCCCTTGTGCCCCTTACATAATTTGACCTGCATCACTCCTTATAAGAAGTCTTTGAAATATAGATTACAGGTATTACTGTCTTGCAGATGCTCCCTCTCTCCACCCCCATGTTTATTAACCACTCTTTCTTTTCTAAGATCTCTTGATACATGGGTCTGAGGCATGTGCTCTCTCTCTACCACCATCATGTCTATACTCTCACTCGTTCTAAGATCTCTTGAAACTTGGACTTGAGGCATGTGCTTCTCTCCCATGATTTTAATGGAATCCCTTGTTATTTACAGGATATACGAAGGAGCATTCCCAGTGGTTTACGACCCCTGATAACTAACATCCCGGCCTCCTCTATGTATAGTGTAAGATCAGGATCCACAAGGAGCAGGCCGGTTAGTGTTTCTGACTCTCCTCTGGCAACAAGCAGCAATGCCAGTTCCGAACAGAGTGTTAACAACAACAATATACTCTGCATCGATGGGAATGAGATGGAAGAAGATAGCAGGAGTGAGAGAGGAAGCCTATCCTCTCCCGCTACCTATCTCGAAAGCATATGTATGAGAAGCAGCACAGGCAGTGGTAGTTGGCTTCACAGTCCCGAGATTAAAGAAGACACCCAAGTCGGATAATGGCCTCTCTTTCTCTCTAAGAAGCAGCACGGTCATCGTCCCAATTTGCTTCACAGTCCCGACGTCAAAGAAAACCACGTTGGATAATCCTCTCTCTCTCTTAAAAGCAGCATACCTAGTGGCTCTAGGCGTCATAGTTATATCAAAGAAAACCCCCCTCTTTCTCCCTCTCTCTAAGAGCAGCAACACAGGCAGGCAGTTGGCTTCACAGTTATGAGGTCAAAGCAGACATCCAAGTTGGATAATCTCTCTCTCTCTCTTTCTTTGAGGTGTTTATTTTCTTTGAAAGTTCACTCCTTTTAGAAGAGTTGAGAATGAATCCCATGGTTTTGTGTTACGAGTGTTTCTCTCCATGTATAGGACATGTTGGCTGCTAAGATATCTCAAGGCTGATTGTAGGATCCATGAGGCTGGTTATGTATGGTAATTGCCAAACCTTTCTTTGCTTGATTGGACACTTTGCATATGAGGTCTTCAAAGCATTTTCTCTGTTAAAATGGAGAGACAAATCTAGATTTGCATAAAAAGCATTTTATGCACATTTTAAAAGGATCTAAAAAATTGTGTTCTGGATTCGGAATCACTTGATCTTGGAAATGATTACGTACTGGCCAGACTCTTGCCCCCTTGCAAACCACACTTTTTTTTTTGAGCATTGTTTTCCTTGTTCTATTAGTAAATCACAGCTCCATGAATCCCCTTTCTTTTTTAAATAGTTTTTAAAATGCCAATTTTGACTGGTTTGGTTCAGCGAACCAACACAGGATCGGTAGATGGATGATCCATCCTGTCGATCTGTTTTTTAAAACATTGCTTCAAAATGTAGATTGGACTTTGTGCTCTCCCTCGTTTTTATTTTATTTTTTCTTTGAATGGTTTTGTGGGTAACTTGCATGGACCAGTGGGTTCATTTTCCCTTATTTTTTCTGTATAAATTTCCTTTTTATTTATTTATTATATTTTGGTTGTGGATATGAGATCTATATGCGTGCAAGATTTAAAAGTATAACATCTCTACTTTTTGAAATGGCTTGGGCAACAATAAAAGCATGCTACTTATATAAAATATAACGTATTTCTTCTGGTCCTAATTTTTTGGATAACACTAAATATTATAGTTTTAAAGGGCCCAACTGGGCTGGGCCAGGCCGAGCTGCCTGGCCCATTGCCAGCCCTACTTGGGGCCTAATCTGGTAAAGGAAAATTTCGCCAAAAAAACAACAACAAATCCAAATGTTTCAATTTTTCAAACATACGAGTCAACAAAAGGAGGATTATTATGTAAGCTAACAGGCTTGTAGCTTACATTATAAGCCGAGCTCTAAAATACATGACTAGAGGGACTTGTTTGGGCTGAATTCTTTTTGCATCTTCGATTTGAAAATTGAACCATTTCAAAAAAATAAAAACATACAAAAGTCGATTAAGGCTCGAGTTTCACTGTACCAATAATGGTTGGCCGGTAGTTCATCAAGAATGGCTATATATTATATATATATATATATATATATATATA